AATCTGTATGAATAAATAAAAAAGTAAAAATTTAGAGAACATTTCATAAGGCAAAAAAGAAGCTTTGACAGTCCTCTATTAAACTGCCAAACGCAGCACTATAAGGAATTCTAGCATGAAGCAAATTTTATGTTCTAAAATTACTTAAACTAAACTACTCAACTGAAGCAAACTGCTGGAAGTAAATGCTAAAATAATTCAACTGGGGAACATTAAACATATCTTCTGAGAATACTATTAACACAAGCAATACTCTTAAACTGCCTATTAGACATGATAGCTAGATTTTCCATAGAGACATACAAATGCAAATCCTTCCAGTGACTTAAACAAAAAGTATTTTCATTTCTAAAACACATAACTAACCTTCAGAAATTCAAAAACTAATCTCCTTAACCTATAGTTTTACAGGATCAGCCACCTTATCTGCTCAGAGACAAGTCCTTTTGAAGCCAGGTACTGCCACCAAGTGGTAGTGAAATTTGGATTTGCAAATCCAATTATCCCCATGTGTAAAGCACACAGAAATGAAAAACAGTCCTGCAGCAGCCAAATATGAGCAATGCTCTGCTAACACAAGACATTTAAAAATTAATTAAAGCAGAACCCAGATATCCAAATCTAAAACTGATCTTCGATGTAAAACAAAGCTCTTTCCAATAATTCAGTCCTTTTGTTCAGACACTGCTTGTAAGCAATTGGGTAAAGAAACCTTTTTTCCAATACAAATCCAATATATAAATAAAACAATTAATAATTAGGTGTTTTATGCATCTTTGCATAAAGTCCTCAATGACTACAACTATATCACCAGAGAGGTCTTATTTTCAGGATTTCAGGAAAAAGTGAATTCTGTAACTGACATAAAAAGACCTCTTAAGGTATAAATATCCAGCTTGTTATCTGGATAAGCCACCCACTCAATCTACATCCATTAAGATGTAAAGATCACAAACAGACAGAGAGGAATTTTTAGAAATTATATATATCTATTTTTATAGAAATATTTCACAAGTTAATCAAATACTATTGGTTACCTGCATGAATTAGTTGTGAAGTGTCAATCCAACAGATCACAGATGAAAACTTGAGTGACAACATGATGCATAATGGATTTACTGAGAAACTTTCTTAAATGATGATATTAGGAACACTTGAACCCAATTAACACAACACATCTTTAACCTTCAGAACAATTCTGACCTTCTCTACTGTTCTATTGAATAAAACTTGTCATGCTTTTTATCCAGCATGACCTAAAACACATCTAGCAGTTTCTCATGATTTTTGGGTTTTTTTGGCTGATAACCACTTGCTGTGCAAATGTTATGTAATCACAAATTTTAAGACTGTAGCTCCTGCTAATGTCAACAGATTTTTTAACTTCTAAAGCACAGTATCATTCCCAATTCTAAAAACACTAGCTGAAACAAACACTCTGCTTTTACTAATTTAATTCAGAACCTTAGAGTAATGAAACACATTAGTGATATTTACTCATCCTTATCAGAAAACTGTTTCTCATCCTATGTTCTTTCAGTTATCAAGGATTAAAAAGCTAGTAAGATTCTAAGTAGCAGTAGCAGGTAAGGCAAAAAAAGCCATCTTGTACCTTTTCAGATTAAGACATGAAGAAGGTGATTGCTTGCTGATGAAAATACAAAATCAGAGCTTTTAAAGGACTCAAACCAATGTAACACAGTACATGACCAGAAAAATATAAGTGAGAAGAAAAGTTCAGGTCAGTCCACTAATACTTGGGGTTTGTTTCTTTATTTTTTTAATTTAAAACAAAAAAGTCATCACCTGAAGTGATTAACGGCAGAAAACTCAACTTCATGTTACCAGGATAATATGAACAAGATTAAAATTATATGAGATCCTCTCTGAGCCAAAAAAATAAAAATCCCACATACTAAAATTTATCCTGTGCAGAGTTCTGTATGTAATCTATCCTTCTTCAGTATTCATGGTACTATTATTCACTAATTATATCCTTCTACTTTTAGGTAAAGCCATACTAAATACATTCAAGGCAGTTTCTGGAAGCAAGTTTGGTTTGCCTGGAATCTAAAATGCTTAAAATATAACCTCTCTTCACTGCACACACTTAGTTACACGGAAATTCAGCACAAGCATGTAACTTCTGCAACCTATCTTGCTCCACAGAAGTGTGGCCTACTGCACTTTTAACATATTGAGACCAACCTTATTGTCTCCTAATTTTCCCCTGTATTTAAAACATACTTTATTTAAGACATATTCTTTATTTAAGACAGATTCTCCTGTGGAGTTCAGAAACGCAGTCTGTAAATCAGAAATTTAAAGAACAAATACTATAGTTACCCAAATAAAGTACATTCACTGTTTGTAAATAGTATCTTATACCTGTGTGTTTCTAACTAGTAACAGATTTTCTTTATTTATATTTTATTTTTTTATTTTTATTTATTTTGTACTTTTATATTCGCCTTAGGAACATGAATGATTTGAAATATTAAGAACAAAACTCCAAACCCTTAACAAAAACAAAAAAACAAAAAAAAACCCAAAAAACAACCAACCAAAAAAAAAAACAAAAACAAAAACACACACACACACAAAAAAAACCCCAAAAACCCCAAAACAACAAAAAAACCACCACCAAACCCTACATGGAAAGCCCACTAGCAGAGTCATCAGGAAATGCGTTACCATCAAGTGTACAAGTAAAATGCTTGAGCAAATAACTAAAGCACATTTTCAGCTATTGCTTTAAAAGAGATAAGCTTACACAAAAAGACAAGTCCACCCAGAGCTGTGGGAGTGAAAATTATTGTTTAGAAATCTCTTGAGATGCTGCAGCCACTACACTCCTGAGTGGAGACTGAAGACTGAGGCAGTTGGGAAGTGCAGGTTGTTCTTGAAAATAAACTCTTTCAGTCATCCCTGCTGCCCCTCTCTGAACCTTCTTCAGCTCTGCTATGTTGTTTTTCAGTCCCCAGTCTAGAAGAAGCAATACACATTGCAATGCAATGCAGCCATGGTACACCACAAATTTGTAGAACTGGATCTGGTTTTTGTTTTGTTCCCTACTAAAGCACAATAATTCAATTGATTTACTGACTATTCAGTTGTCATTGTTTACTGAACTCTGAGAACCTCAAGATCTCCTCCAAGCAATAGCAATACTGATCAAATGTCACTACACTGTTTCCATTTATTCTTTTACACATTTTTCTGTCCTCTTGCTGTGAATGTGTTCTCTATAGGCTGTCTCCTCAGAGACAGCTTTTTCCTACCAAACACAGATAACGACCATTAAGATGAAAGGTCTTCAGAATTTCATTCAGAAGACTTCATGCTAAAAAAACCCAGTTATTTATACATTAGACTTTTCAATTAATTATCTGCATTTAACAAGTAATTAGCTAACACACAAAGAAACAGAGCATAAATGGCAAGCTTTAAGTACTGAAAACATTAGAAGACACAAGGAACAGTTTGAATTTTACTGTCAATTCAAGTCTCTTTTCTAGCCATAATCCTTGTTTTACATTCATCCTTAGATGAAGTATTTCCTTTTGCAGTGTTGTATTCATTGGTTTTCTCAAAGCAGCACATTCCAGAAACCAGCAAAGTCAGGCTAAGACAGTAAACATCATCTAAACATAAGTATATGCATAACACAGCAGTAGAGCTTATTTTTAATTGTTCACAGTTCAGAGTACTATTCATAATCAAAGTCCTGAATCGGTTATACATTATACAAAAGATCAACACCCAATAGAAGAGTTATTTTAAATTCTCCACAAAGCACTCTTTTATAATCATTATTTTGAAGCTGACAGCAACAGCTCTGAAGAAGTCTTAGTGGAACAGAAGATATGAACAAAGTAGTTCATGTCTATTTTAAAATGCACATACCACAGTTTCAAGGCAATATTAAGTCTACATATTAATTGGAGCTTGGAATTGAGGAACAAACTCATTTAAGTAAATGGGATCTCCCTCTCACCTCTTCAAAATACCAAGTCACTGCAAGCAGCTACATTCTGAGATGGCACATTAGTCAAACAGGAAGCAGGAAACTTGAGAACACAGCTTTGGTTTGTCAGAGAGGCCTCTGTAGCAGCGTCCATCATGCCATGTCTCCAAAGCAGTGAATTTACTGAACTCTGAGGCCTTACCTAAAGATTCTTTTGAAAGACTCAAGTTAAAATAGATTAAAGCTCTTTGTTACATGTTTCTCATAATTATATGGAGACAAGATTAATTTTATACTTCAAATTATTCCTCAAGTAGCAAGCAAATGAAAGAGAAAAAGATAAGCATCTTAATTCTTTTTCTCAAAATAACAGAGGAAGGGAGTAGGGGGAAGGAGGAAAACGCCAATTACAGAAAAATTTTCCTAGATGGACTCTTTGCAATTGCAAATGAACACTTCAGTTCTTCCAGCACTAAATCTCCATAAACTTTGTCTTTCAAATAGCTTGCAAATGGGTTCCTAAAGACAGAAAGAGGGGAAGAAATTCCAACAGAATTTCATTGTTTAACACTTGAAATGCTATTCTGATAGCTGGTCAAATTTCCCACACAGTTATTTATTAATACAGTAAGTGCAAGTTTAACATGCTGCTTTTATAGTGCAAAGTGCACTTTCAGTACTTTGAAACCAGGTAGATAATATGTAGAGGACAAAATTAATTTAAAGTGCTTATAATTTTGGCTTTCAACAGCTAGCAGAACACCTTGATAGCTTTTTGACTATAACAATTTATGGAAGAAAAACCGATCTATCATCATAATATTAAATAGTGGGGATTAAATAATGTTTTGTTCCTCTTTTGGCTTTGCAGAAGTAACACTGCACCATTACAGTACATACACTGCATGCATTATAGTAATCAAGATACAAATTTCAAGAGAATTTTCACTGACCACTTTTCTGCAGATTTAGCAGTATATGCAAATGGCATTTTTTGGGAAAAAAACCCCACCAACACAGAACTCCTACTTACCTTTGCTTGTTTGATTTACATTATGCTGTAAGATCCACTTCCACATTAAAACAAACCTGCAAAATAAAACAAGAACTCACTTTACAGCTGCCATTGTTTTCTGCTTGTGTCCTACACTATCAGACAAGACAGGCAAAGCAGAGAGGTAAGAAATCCACAGCCATAAAAGTATTCTGTCTTTTTGATCTCATGGTAAAAGCATCAACATTCCAGTGGTCTTCTCTCAAACATGTGTAATTTCCAAATAACACAGCAATTGTCATATTAATAAAAAAACCTACCAAGAAGTTGTATCAAATACACAAATGCTATTAAATTAAGTGGGCAGAACAGGGGAAAAGAAGTTGCATGGCAAGAAAAGCTCTGCATTTGCTGCTAGTGCATTCAAAGTCAGTTATCTCAAGGTCCCTGAACAAGAAATGATTCTCAGAAAGGAAATGGGTTACAAATGAAAGCTTTTAAAAAATCTTTTTAGCAAAAATTACCAGCATATATGAGATTAAGTGTTGGAGGACTTTAAGCCTGGGCCTTTCTAATTTCTCACCTTTCCTAAGGCAAAGTTGTGTTTATGATTCTAAGGTTAGCTGGCCCTCTTAAAAATTATAATTTATTTGTCTTCATGAAATCTGATCGGTGTCAGATGAACTTGTTTTGCTCATGTATCTTTAGAACTAACAAGGTCATTTTTCACTTCCTATTTGGAAATTCTGAAGAGACTCCAAAAGCAACTGTAGTCACACAAAAATAAGAATGGATTTGGGTATGGTATCTCTACAGAACTGGGTCTACTAATGACGACACAACTACTAGCATAGAGCTTTTCAGAAAGGGTAACTTGTTCTTATCTAGACTAAACGTTTAGGCAGCATCAAAATTTACTCTGAATGAAGTAACTATCTTCACACACTGTCCTTACCTCATTTTATTCACACACAGCTTTTTGACTCAGTTCCCCAATGAATCTTTTCTCAAAGCCCCTTGCCTAAATTACAAAGACAGAGTAAGGGAAAACAGACCTTTCAAAAAGTCTGACTGGATAATATAAAGCAATAGAAGATAAGTATTTGAGCTCCTCTTCCTAGCCCCAAGATTGTGTCCCAAGTATCACATTAAACTGCAGCTTTATGCATGAATGTTATTCAATATACATACTCATTTATCAAGTAAGACTTATTACAAAAAAAAACAGAATTATTTGGTCAGATTTTTAAGTAATATTCACCTAGTGAAGCAGAAGTGTTACTTCCAAAAAGCAGCGAAGCTCTACTGTATGTTGAAAGTAATTGCAAAGCTACAGTTATATCCTCACAAAAATAACAGGCTCCATATATGAAGAGCCAAAATACCTTTCAAAAAATGAGAAAGTCAATGTTCATGATCAAACATTATGATGAGCACTAAACCAGACATGTCAGTAAGCCTATGCACTTTGGCTAGGGAGTGACAACCACAGTCTAACACTTCTCTCTGTAAGATCTACAATGACTGCCCCCCATGCAAAATGGCCTCAACACCCATATCCTCTAAACTTTACAATTAACTCAACATTAGCAATAACTGTTCTCAACATAGATTTCCTAGCTCGTGACTCAAGTGCAGACAGAATCTTTCCATCAAAGGATTGAGCCCAGACAACTGCAGATCACTGGGGTGATACAGCAGTACAGTGCCATATCACCCACTACTCTCTGTAACAGCCTTTCCATAGGAACACCTTACTTTGGACCAATCAATCGACTTAGGATAGGGTAAGACTTCCCATTTTGTGTGAACAATTTAGCTAGAGGACATGTACTCTTATACTCATTGAAGATGCACTTTGCAGAAAACTTAAATGCAAGTACTCTTGCATTTTATTATTCTTTGGATCACAGGGAGCTCACAAACCACACTGGGGATAAATCTCGGGTTGTTCTACATCTGGCACAGACGGAATGACAAGGAAAAAGAGAAGATGGGCCATCATAATTTGGATATTGTCCAGCTGAAGGAGAGGTGACAAGTTTCACAAAGAGATCACCAGCAAGTAAACTGCTGAAGGACCAAAGGGCTGGTCACTGTAGCCCTGCATCAAAAACTTAAAAGGGCTATACAGAATTAACTCCCCTTTTTGAGATTTCAAACCCTCTGAAAGCAAAAGCTCCACCCAATGGGAGACGGTACTTGCAATTTCATGCAAACATCTTCACGAAGGCAACACAATCCATCTTAGCCCAAACTACTGATAGCACTGAGACTGCTTAAAGACACCCACCTATAGTGCTTAACCAGCACTCACATCTCCTCTCAAAGGTCTTTCTGCTGTCAAATAAGATTTCTCTTACACCAGTACAATCAAGCTCTAACATCTACTATTAACTTCAAGGGTGATGACATTTGAAATAACTGAGTGCCTGATATTCTTCAGAAGCAGATTTGAGAAAGGTAGGTCTCCAAAAATTTCCTCAGGGAAAGGCAAAGATTTCAACATCATAAATGCTTTTGCTTCAATTTGCTTGTCTTAATTTGCATTATCAGGAAAGGAAGTGAGAGTAAAAGTCAGTGTCCCATACCAGGCAATAAAAGAGGGCAGGAAAAGGGACACAGAATTGAGTAATAAATGTAGTTACAGAGCACTCACCTGGAGGCCTCGATATTCAAAGAGTGAGAAGGGGGGACCACAGCAGGGAAAAAGGACTGATGTAAAATGGTCAGGCTTCTGATTAGCGATAAGCAGCTTCCTGTTCTGACATGGGCACTGAACAGGAAGTGAAAGAAAACTGAAATGGTGGAGATGAAAGAGAACACAAATGCAGCCCCAGTGATACTAAAGAAAAAAAAGATGGACTGAAAACTCTTGCTATAATGAAGTATCTCCTAAAAGCACACACCCTCCCTCTCTGAGGAAAAGTTGAAGAAACACTAGAATGCAAAGGTGTACAATGACTAAATAAAGGTTGCTGAAATCCCAAATGAGTTTTGATCAATTTGTTTATTATGTAGACCTTATTGCATAACAAATCTGCATTGTAACTGACATTTCTACATCTATCTTAGAAAAGATACCACCACCTTTAACTACCACCATCTCCTGGAATGACTGCAGCCAGGAATGAAGTTCATACGGAAGCTTTGTAGGTGGTTTATTCGACGGTTTTTGTGTGGCTGTTTAACACAAAACCAGTTTTGCCCCTACAGCTGATTATGCCTGTGTGGGAAGAAAGAAAGAAAGAGGAAGAAACAAAGACCAGAATAACTATATTATACAAACTATTTTTGTTGATATAAACTGTGGCTAAACAGTCAATTCCACCAGCTTGACATAACATCGCAAAAAGGCTTGCAACTGTTGTGTTGGCTTCACGGCTTAGAAAATTTGAGTATTTCATCGAGAATGGCAGCTACATTTATTAGGATATGACCATCCCAGCATGAAATTCAAAAGCAGGGTGTGGAATGTGGAATAAATTTCATTCTAATATCTGTTGCAGCTCTGGAAAAAATCTATAATCTTACAAAAATCTAACAATCCTAAATATCACTGCAGGAAAAAAACAGCCAGTAGAAAGCAGAGATCACTAAGAAAAGGATACTTCTGGCTACGAGAAACCCAGAAGTTCCTGCCAAAATTGTACATGCAGTATCAAGGATAAAGTAATTTCAGAAGAGGACTGAAATGGCAAAAAGTTAGCTGATGAGAGTCCTACATCAGTTGATACAGCTGAAAAGCTCTTTAAATACAACCCTAAACTGCAATTTTCCAAACAAGTAGCCAGCAATGACCTTTTCTGTACAAAATGTAGTTTCCTGCTTTCTATTTGCAGGAGCTTTGATTGTCTTTGATTTCTATTTAAAGAGTATAAAAACAACTTAATCTACATTCAGTAGCCACAAATATCTAGAACTAACATCCAGTATAGATTAAATAATCATTTGGATTTAAACATGAGGTTTTCTAAAACCACAAAATTAATCTCTTTCGAGAATTCGTAGAACCTCTCAATCTATGCTATTCCAACTGCAGTTTAACCAACTGAATTAAATATGCCACAACCCCATTGACCAAAACTAAATTTGTAAAGAAAAAATAGTAATGACTCTTCATAAAATGAGGAGCAATACTTAAGAACAGGTGGAGCTTGAATTACCCAGATGCCAAATTAAGCAAAAGCTTAACACTTTATAACATGAAGAGACAAAATTTAAGTCTTTTTACTGGAGATGCTCCTGACTTCAAAGTATCTGCAATGAATGAACAAAAGCAAGCAAGGGACTGCAAGAGAGAAGACTGCCTCCTGCATTCTGAATCTCCTGCTAGATTCTGAGAGTTATCTGAAAAATACTTCAAAGAAGTTACAGTTCTTCCTTTGTCTATTCATCACTGTAAAAGCCACACACACAGTTCCCAAAGCTGTGGTAGGGCTTTCACGTGGAAATGTTGAAATCTCTCGTTTTTCTACTCATAGAAAGTTTAGCTTTTTGACAACTCTCCATATGGGACAGTGAGGCACTTCAAGGAAACATGTGACAGCATAGGAAATGAATACAACTGATCATACCTCAGACTGGGAAGCTGTTTCAGTCCAAACAAGATTACAAGTATCTGAACCTAACATTAATATGAGTATCACAGTAGGGAAAAAAAGTAATCTGAGAGAGTAGCTTGAATGCAAAAAAAACCAACCTCTGTTTATATCATCAATTAGGTCGAACAAGAGATTTAATTATTATCTCAAAAATGTGCATACCACAAGTAAACATTTAAAAAGTCATCACAGCAAAAACTATTCTAGGTAGGCAGGAGTTTGGACTAACAAAACATACTGGTTGAAAAGGTTATTTTTCTTCTCTATCAGTAAACAGATCAGATGCATATATTCAAAGATGGACACAACAGGCAGACAACAAAGATGCAAAGATGTTTACAGCAAAGCAAGGGGAAACAAACAATTTGAGAGCCATTTACTTTGAGTATACATTGTCCAGTAAGCAAATATGTAACAATGAACACACAAATGAAAGCATCATAAAAACATTAAACTGAAGCATCAGTTTGAAGATGGGAGTCCTACAAACATTTAGAATTTCAAGACCTTAAGAGAAAATACTAACATGTTGTTTCTGAAGGTTACTTAGCAATGCAGTTTCTCTCCTCAGCTAAGACGGGTGCAACATTCTAAGTATCATTGATATTAAAAAGTTTACAGTCCATCCTACTAAATTAAATGGCATTCTTCACAATGAGATCTACCATAAGCAACAAGTTACAGAAAAATAATTTGTCGTCATAATTTCTCTGCCTGTTTAAGCTATAGATCAACCTACCACTTCCATAATAAACATCCATACACTTTCAGTCACCCTTCAGCCTATTTATTTTGACCACATGAACTAGCTCTTCATTTGCTGCACTTACATATCTTAAATATAACAGCTTTTCTTAAATAGAGAAAGCTTAAAGCACAGAATGACATCATCTCTCCATTCCATTCCAAACTACTAAAGGCACTGTACACACCCTTGGATCATCCTTCACTCTGAACACGTCTCTGTTCATTATGCTGGCAGCAAAATCTCATCAATACATAACCTGGACAGGAAGTGCCTCTACCCTTCCACTTATACAACCACTTTGTGCCCAGACTGAATTTTTATACATACACACATTATATATATATGTATTCCTTCACCATACATCACCATGTAAGCTTTACACAGAGCACCTCAAAATACAGTGACATACCCTATGACTTTAAGCACTGCAAAAAAGCATTCCAGAAAATATTTACACAAAATCTTCCCTACCTCATAAGAAATTTGATTATAGTTCCTTATAAATTTTTAGTCCAAGTTTGCACCTTCCATTTCTCAGCTGAAAAGTAACCGAAAATACAAACGAGGAAAGCTTGATCACTGAAGTGCTTTCTAAGGAACCAACAGCCTTAAATTAAAAAAATGCATTTTGCGTCTTAAAAAAAAGCAAATTTTTAGAAACATCTGAGGCAGCCTCTTATATTTCAAGGTTTGTTTTTAAAATACTAAACTACACAGTGATGTTACACATTTCTAGTGTTGTCCTCTCCTTTCTCCAGACTACAGAATGCTAATAAAAACATGAAACAGGCCAAGTTAAGTACAAAATTAAAAATGTTTGAGCTAAGATTGTGTCCATCAAATTAGTGCATCCCCTTTAGTGTACCACTAAGCAACACCATTGTACAGTTCAAACATCTGTCTTCACACACTACTCATTTTTCTACAACTTCGAAGTTTTATCTTATGTGTATTTGGTACACATTACTGTAAATAATTTATCAGCACCCCCCTACTGAAGGAATCCAGTGCCTTTTCAGTCAAGGAAGTCCAACAGAGAACCAAAATCCCAAAAGATGAAGAAAGTACAGAAAAATGGGATCTTCTCTAGGTATAAAACACATCACACATATGGGACTTTTATGAAGAGCAGACACAGTTTACTGTCAGACCATACCTGCCATCAATCTGCCACCTGTGGAATCCTGATAGAAACAGAAATGCATCAATTATTCTTCACACATTCACTGAACTTGACATATCCCTTTCCTGATGTACTGCATAAAATAACTCTGAAATTCCTCAATATAACTGCAACCTATTAATCAAAAAAACTGCAAGAAGTTTACTACACAATGCATACACTTACATCCTTATGAAATAAAATACAATACAGTTGCCCAAGTATATTCCACTCTATAATGACCCTTATTTATGTATCTTGATCCTTATTTATAAAGCTTCAAACAAGATTTAGGTTGGGCATATTTATTTCAAACTCAAAAAAAAAATTAAATATTAAAAAAAAAAGCTTTGCTGCACGCAGAAAAATCACTCAGGGCTTAATTTCAGAAAACCAGAATTATTTTACCAGATACAACGTATTTTGTGAAATAGTATCTCTGTACTGTTTTTTTCCCTGCAAGTTGTTTTATAAGGAACTTATGTTTATTATTAAAATTTCAAAACATTAAGCAAATCTTTTAGTATAGAAAAGGCAGTAATGAGGTTTTAAAACATATTTACTAGAAATTAGTTTCTCCACTAAATAGACTGGCATTCTGAAACAAGAATGCCTGATGACATCCATTACATCTAGATGGATTAAAATATCTGTTCCCTTTAAGGACACTTTTACTTCAAGACAGTATCTCACACATTTCCAACAGTAGTTAAAGCAGCACATTAATAATCACGCCATGTTCTTACTGTAGCAACAATAATTTCTGGTAGCCATTTTCTCTCCGGCTTTAACACTGTTTCAAAGCCAACAGTCCTTCCTGCAACCTCTGTATAAAGCCAAAGGCAGCAAAGTGCTCAGCACTTCTCCCTGGGTACACTCTGCAGATGCCTCCCTCCAGTCCAACGCACTTACCCATCACTATTCTCCAGCGCTGCACTTTCAGTTTGCACTAATGGAAATGTGACAGCGTGGCTGTTCCCTTTTTTAAAAACCCCAAACGACCAACCCCGCCATTTAGGAGACGGAACAGTTTGCTACTACAGGATACTTCAAGGGGAGAGCAGCGCTGCAGTTCAGTATTTTCACCTGCAGGCGCTCAGAACACACAGCCCAGAGCAGGATCGCCAAGCCGCAGGCAGCGCCTCGGTCACCGCACCGCCAGCAGCCACCGAGCCTTCGAGATCACAGATTACAACATCAAAGCCAGTGCTGCAGCCAAAACCAATTTCTTAATAGACTTCTTCTGAATATCTCTGAATCTTCTACGCTGTAAGGCAAACTAGTGTAAACGTTCACGTCCAAGTCTTCCTCTGTGTTTCCAAAGTCTTAAAAATTACAGAACTTGAAACACTTTCTTGAATTAGGACTGCAATGCAGATTTTAAAAAAGGTTGATCTTAAAATCCTACAGCTGAAAATTAGTGATAAATTACTATTTTCTTCTTTCCTTAAAAAAAAAAAATTAAAAAAATTCTCCCCTTCTTGCTATCATGACAGTTTGAAAGAAAGCAGTAGAGAACAGAAAGTGAATTACATAAATATTTGCAACAGCAACGGCAGGAAATAGTGCACTGGTATTAGCATTTAAGTACTCCCTACAAAACAGGATCCTAATCTCAAATTCAGTTCCTCACAAGTTTGTTCCAGTTGAAAGGGTAGCTATGCTGGGATCACGAGCTCTAATGCCTGCTGGTGTCTGTCTAGACAGCGTTTCTGACATTTCCTGACCATAGCAGGAAAGGGAATCTCCTGTTCCTAGCCTCAAAGGAAGTGCATTTTCTGTGCCCATGAAAATGTAAAATCTAACAAAAATTTCCTAGAGATTTCATGCACACTTTTTGTAAGTATTCGCAAAGCTTTGCTCATGGAGTGCTAAGAAATATCTCATATAAAAGGTCTTACACTTAAAATGAAGGTAGGCTTATGATGAACTCTGAATTGGTGTGGCAGAGATTTTATTCTGATATCCCTATGACAGTGCCTTCCAACAGAGGACAGAGCAGACACTCTAGGGCATCACTCCCTGTAAACAGCACTGCTAACTCTCAAACAGCCTTCTTCCTTAGCACAGGACTAATCTGTGACTACAATGAATGTTCCAAGATGAAGAAAAGAACCATATAAAACAATCCCCAAAAAATACAAATTCCAAACCAATCACCTAAGAATTTAAATTCCAGCATTGCCATTCTTCTAGCGAAAGCTTTTTCCAAATAAAATACACACATTTCATACAATAGGATTCAGCCACTGCTTATCAGATTTGAAGTGAAGCTACAAAATGCTTCCTAATTGGGTTGATATACAAGCTACAATCTCTACAATCTATGAAAGAGCACTTTTGGGAGCCACATATACTTAGCCAGTAGCATAAGGACTTCCCTTCATTTTGCAGGAGCCTGCTTTTTGGTGACAGAGGAATGGTTTTGGTGAAGAAGTAAAGTTGTAATATGCTGTCAACACTATCACCTTAATAGCCATTGAAAATGTAAAATCCATTCCTCGCTGAGCTGCTCAGTGTTCACTTTTGATTTGGCGACACTGTAGATTTCCAGCATTGTCCATGGCCTATAAATAGCTTAAACTATTTCCTACCTTAGATTTGTAGCAATGCAACAAAAAAAAATTTAAGTCATCTGTGTTTTATTTTACACCTTCATGCCAAATAGCTACATTAGTGTTTTCTTACAACTGAGGTTATACTACCAGACGTGGCAAGCAAACTGTGGCAAATGCTGCTTCCACATCCCTCTCTGAAATGTAGTTTGTGACCAACAGTTACTGTCATGAACACTCCATCGAGCCAGTCACACACCACCAGCACCACAACCACAGCTCAGGTCTAACACAGCATCCACATCTCGTTAGTAAGCTCCTATTCAAGGTCCCTCTGTTCAATGGGACAGGGTCCATAAGCTTTATTATTAATATAGTCATCATACAGGAGTGCTTCCTATAGTAAAATTTCAGAGTTTACTAAAAGTTACTGCCTTTGCTACAAAATTATTCCACGAAAAGCATTTTGCTAGGAAGTGGGTGTTTTCAAGATCTACCCCAAGGATTCTACTCAAGTTATGCAATACCTCGAGGTCTACTTTCTAAACTATTTAATAAACATCTATAGAGGCTTCATGCCAGATTGCAAGAAAATGCAGGCTCTCTGCAGACTTCACTTCAAGATTACGGCTTCATTAATCTCTCTTTTCAGCCTTGAACCCTTTAAACACTTGTGGACTTGTTCATTTCCTTTTGTTTCAGGCAAAAGCTTAAAATCTTTGATTCTTTTGCTATTTTAATTAGTTCTTCCAAATACAAGAAGGTAAATGGAAAAACTTGGTATTTCCAGCATGCCACACCAGTTATCCTCACCTGTGCATATCTAATCCATTGGCTGTCCTTAGGCATCTCATCCAGTTAGAGCTGTAGAATCAATATAAACTTGATTTGTCAGTTTTCCTAACCAGAGCAGGTTTCCCAATCAAACTTTCAAAAGTAGCTCAAAAAACAGAAGAGACAGATACTACAAACCTGTTCCATATGCATCTATATGGGCTAGGACTGCATTAAATCAAAGAGTGTAAATGGCACAAGTCAGTCACATGATGACTCTGTTTCAGAATATAGACACAGGTTTTTAATTAAAGCAAAGAAACCTGTATGTTTCCCGCCCTAGAAAGGATATAACCCTAAGACAGAAATGTTTTCTTCCAGCAAGTAAACACCTTATGTTACTTGCAGTAATAACAAAGCTTCTTAAAACAAATCAAAGTCAACACCAAAGATAAAGGAAACTTTGCCATTGTCTTGGACACTCACAGTTAAAATAAAATCCCCCTGAATACCTTGTTCAAAGGCTTCCTAAATTCACAATGACTAGTATGTCCCAAAAGCTTAGTGTTCTACATCAACAGAAGTTCTGTGCCTTCTTTTGGGCCCACAAATAGAGCTGACTGTTTGCCTACCAACTGGCCCCAGAGCCACTGTGTTTTCTCATTATTGGGGACTTTGTAAGCCACAAGTCAGATTTCAAGACCTCATGTTTGTTTTCCACTGAAACAAGAAATATAACCAACACTTAAATGTTGAGAGAATATGTATGAATATGAAATCTGGTTTAAATGGATAAAAGGAGCAAGAATAACTTTTCCTTAAGTTCAAAGACAACATATAGAAGCACATTAAATTAAAGCAATTCTGATAAAACGGTTCAGCACTTATTTAATACCTACTTAATCAACTTTAAACAGCTTCAGAGAAAACAACAGCCATGAATGACTCTACAGAACTCTGAAAGAAGTTCAGAAATACATAAGGTATTATTACAAATTTGAGAAATAACCTGTCTTTATCTTCAGATTCACAAAACTAAAGAAATTCTGAGAACAAATAAAACAGAAAACAAAGGAAGTTACAGCACAGAACAGGTTAACTTCTCCAAAATTAAGCCTTCAGAATATCCTAAACAAAGCTCTTCCTTGAACCAGAACACTGTTTGGAATTTACGATATTTAGAGGAAAACAGTGATAGTGGTATCTTTGATTTTTTAAATGAGATATAGGCAACCACAAACCACCCAGATTTGTACTTTAGTCTTGAAAAGCCAAGAGGGTTTTGCGGTGGAGGGTTTTCTCTTGTTTTCTTGTCAGGATTTTTTTTGGAAATGGTGTGGAAGTGAGGTGGGTTTTTTATACTAAGAGAATTGTCCTGTGGAAAAGCATTGGTAACTTTAACAGTTTTACATTCTTTCAAACAGCTGCCCATTTAACATCATACAGGTTTGGTTTTTATTTCTGAATGCTAAAATTTCCTTTAAGGACAGGAAGAAATGCTAATGAATCTACTGTGACAGAAAACATGAAGAAAAAGAACAGCTTCAAGCAGGTAAAAACCAGAGCACTCTTTCCAGCTGAAAATGTCATTCTGGAAAATTACTTTTAAAAATGGAAGAAAAGTTAAGGTAAAACTATCTGTCAGAACAAAAGTGAAATCACAGAGATATAACTTTGGACAAAAGCACCTAGCTCCTAGTATTAGTATCACTAAGCTGGAAGAAAACTTTGATCAAAGACGACCATGGAAACCACAACACAGGTGATCACTAATTATTCCTCCCTCCTTTATATTTGCATCCTTTGAAAATAGTATGCATCAGCACGCTTCAGGAGCTGCTTACTAGATGGACCTAAAGCCAAGTTACTAGAAATATATTAAATAGAACTTTATTTAAAACAGCACCCAGCATCCTAAAGATCAAAGTGGCCACCTTACAGAAGTCAAACAAACCTACTTTTATCTAAATGGCTCTACAAGAAAAAAATCCCAAAACAATCAAAACCCAAAAACTAACCCATCATTAATGCTCTACATGACATGAAGGAAGGTTCTGTTGCAATACTGCTGTACTTCTTATTCAAAACTATCAACTCATCTCTCTAATTTCCTAATGGACATAGCTGAGCTTCTGAAGAGACT